GAACTTTTATCATGTTTTTGACTTCCATTTTTTTTCTTCTTCACTCAACACTGATTACACCATTTTTTTGATCCGCCAAGACAAAAAATGTTTTATGACTCCACCCAGTCGTTCTTCTTCATGTTCACATACCTTTAAAGTATTCTGTTGATTTCTGTTTGTTTTCTTTCTCCAATTAGAATGTATAGTTGGACCATTTTTTTTTTTTTTTTGTGGATCAAACTACTAATAGCATTAGATAGAAAAACTTAAACTCCACGAATGGAGTGGGTGTTTGTGCGAGAGACAGCTGATTTAACCACTAATATATTGAGATACTTATATTAGAAGGTATGGAAACTCTTATCTATTGTATTAAGCTGGATATGATTTAGTTGTTGTCAATTGATTTTATATTTGTGATAACTGAAAATACAACTTTATGTCTTCCTTACATCATCCTTAGTTGCTACGCGCTGGGGTTTTAATTATTAGTTGTTTATTTTATTAAAATAGTTTAGTTATAACGTCTAACTGTTAGATGTTATTATAGGAATTAATATATGAAATACTCTTTTCGTGAAATTTTAGAAAAATAATTTTATATATGAAAACACATTAGCCTTATATATATATAAGTTATTTAGTGTATCAAAATACGGTAATAATTAGATATTATGTTTACATTGTGGAATGAAATACGTGTATTGTGGATAGTAGTATCTCATTTGACTCATAATTATCTTTACAAAACTAAAAAGTAAAATTTTATGTTGCTTTGAATCTACAGTTAATCACAAACCAAATGAATATTATTTAAAAATAAAAGCAGATACATAAGTTTTAATATTAGTACAATGGATGGTTTATAATCTATACTTTGCATATTTTGGCAGGTATAGTTTCTAAACACATATTTTGGCAGAATATTATTTACTATACTAATTATTATTTATTTTGAACATTATACTAATTATTTTGATGATACCAAACTAAAATCATTTGCAAAACATATTTAAATGTTAATATTATTTTCTATACATGTCAAATATATGGTTCGAGTTTTTCAGGATGTTCTTGCCGTGTCATACTTACTCAGATGACTCACTCTTTCTCCTTGTTAACGCTGCTGCAATCCTCAATCTTTTACCTCGTAGATGTGTAAACTATGCTTTTGTTTACGGTTCCTACTCTTTAATTTTTG